GAGAGGTTTGGGGACCGATACCAGGGCTAGGGACAGGGCTGCCCAGGAAACTGGGAGGGTGCAGGGAGCCCGGTGGTACCTGAACCCGTGCCCCACAGTGCAGCCAGCCCTGGGGAAAACCGGGCCCCCTTGGGATGGAGGATGCGCAGGATTCACCCCGGGGAACAGGGCAGAGAGGGGGCTGCCGCTGCCATTGCTGCGGGCAGAATGGGAAAAGTAGAAGGACCCTGCCGGGTGCCAGCCCCTCTCTTGTGAGCATCCCCCGCCTCACCCCGCGCCGCAGTAGGACGGGGTCCCCCAAACCCCGCTGCCGACTCACGGTGCGGGGCCGTCCAGCGAAAGCCTTCCCTTTCTTCAGCAGCACCTCCCTGGCGTGCCGGTAGCTGTTGACCACCACCACGTAGTGGGAGCCCATCCACAGAGCATAGAGGCTGCCGTAGCGGCCCTGCAGGCGCCACAGCCGCAGGTGGAGCTGGGGGTGCCCGGCCAGCTGCAGCAGGCTGCCCACCAGCGGCAGGGCGGGCAGGCTCCGCGGCCGCCCCGGCCCCGCCGTGTCCCTCCGGTGTGCCAGCCCCCAGGAGCAGAGCAGGGCCAGAGCCAGAGCCAGGGCCAGCAGCAGGGCTCCCAGCAGCGGCATGGTGTGGGGCTGGCTGTGGGGCTGCAGCGGCGCGGGGGGCCTTTATACAGGCGGCGGGGTCGTCGCCTTGACCCCAAGGCGGGCTCGGCTCCTTATCAGGGGGACGAGAAGGGGGGAACGGGCGCTGGGCCTGGAGCCAGCTCTGCAGCTGGGCACCTGACGGGGGCGAGGGCGGCGGGGCCATGGTCGCACCGGGCGGCCGTGGGGGAGCTGCATCCAGCGGGCTGTGGGCCAGGGTACAGGCAGGGATGGGGCTGTTCTCAGGCTCCATCACGGTGGGTGAGGGGTGCAGGGGCAGCCCTGGGTGCCATGAGCACAGCTGGGGACCAGTGGGACACAGCCCGGGCACCCTTCAACATGCCTGGGAGGGGATGGGCAGCACAGGGCTGGGGGTGCTGGGCAGCCCTGGGCAGCAATGGGCGGTGCTGAGATGCCCCAGACAGCTCTGGTCAGTACTGGCCAAGCACTGGGAAGTCCTGAGGAGCCCTGGGCAGTGCTGGGCAAACACTGGTCAGTGCTGGGCAAACACTGGTCAGTGCTGAGAAGACTGGGTCAGCCCTGTTCAGTGCTGGGCAGCAATGGGCAGTGCTGGGCAGCCCGGTTCAGTACTGGGCAAGTACCTATCAGTGCTGAGAAACCCTGGGCAGCTCTAGTCAGTACTGGGCAGCAATGGGCAGTACCAGGCAAGCCCTGGTCAGTGCTAAGAAGCCCTGATCAGCACTGGTCAGTTCTAAAAAGCCCTGATCAACACTGGTCAGTGCTGGGAAGCTCTGGTCAGTACTGAGGAGCCCTGGGCAGCAATGGACAGTACCAGGCAAGACCTCATCACTGCTAAGAAGCCCTATTCAGCACTGATCAGTGCTGAGCAGCCTCGGGGTGTCCGTGCCCGAGGTGACCCCCGGGTCTGAGGTGTCCTGGGGAAGGCCGTGGCGGCACCCCAGGGGCCCGGCCCCGGGCAGAGGCTGTCCCGCTGTCCCGCCGCCCCGCCTGCCTCGGGCCCTGCGCCTTCCCGACTCTTCTGTCCCCCGGCACTCGCCGTAGCGGCGCCCGGCGGTGCGGGGCGGGGCGTGGGCAGGGTAAGATGGCGGCGGCGGGCGCGGCAGACGCCCAGGCGCGCTTCGGGCACTCGGTGAAGGGGCTGCTGACCGAGAAGGTGACCAGCTGCGGCACCGACGTGATCGCCCTCACCAAGCAGGTGCTGAAGGGCTCCCGCAGCGCCGAGGTGAGCGGCGGCCGCCACCGGAGTTAAGACTACAGAGAGCGGCATGCAGCGCGGCCGAGGAGTGCGGCCCGGCGAGCCCGCGCGGGGCACGCTGGGAGCTGTAGTTCTGGAGGGGGCCTCCCGCCAGCGGGTATGGCCATAGGGCTCTGGGGTGCCCCTGGGGTGCGCTGGGGGAGGCGGGAGGCTGCGTTTGCTCCATGACATCTCCGCAGTGATGGGCTGGAGCGGTGCCCTCCTCAAGGCCGTATGCTCTGAAGGGTGGGCACCGCACCCCCAAGCCTTGCACCGTGTCAGCCTTGCATACAGGTCTCCGGGCACAGAGCTGCTGCCTCTCAGTCTGGTGTGTTTGTCTCCTAGCTCCTGGGCCAAGCTGCTAAGAACATGGTGACGCAAGAAGATGCCATCCTGCACTCGGAAGATGTAAGCTGTGTTTTGCTGCTAGAACAAGTGTTTCTAGTGGACAGGAGGAGAGGAGGCTTGTAAGAACAGATATGCAGACATGTTATCTCCGATAACGTGGTATTTTCCTACCCTGAAGTCATAGAATCATAGAATGGTTTGGGTTGGAAGGAAGTTTTAAAGGTCATCTAGCCCAACGCCCTTGCCATGGACAGGGGCACGTTCACTAGATTGGGTTGCTCAGGGCCCTGTCCAGCCTGACTTTGAATGTTTCCAGGAATGGGGTGTTTACTACATCTCATGAGTTCAGGCAGCAGGGCTGGTGGCCAGAATGATTTAGTGCTTCCTCAAGCCCATGTGTGCTGCTGGTCTTTCAGCATCCTGCAGCCCAAGTCAGCCCTTAAGCTGTGCCATCTCTACCAGAAAGCTCAAGGGACCATAGCTTGAAAACAAGCACTTACTGTCAGTGCCTGTCTCACTGGGAAAGAAGAGGGGAGCGGGCCACTGCTGACAGATACTGGTGGAGATGTTTCAGGGTCAGTGCAGTGCTACAGTGGCAGCCATGCTGGAGGAGCTCCCCAGGGTGTAGGGACAGCCTGCCCTGTGATGCTGCTGAACTCCTCCTATCCAACATTCATTCTTTGTCTTGTTCTCCACAGAGTTTAAGGAAAATGGCCATAATAACGACTCATCTACAGTACCAGTAAGTAGAGGACACTACGTTCTCTCTGGGGAGCTAAGTGATTCCCTTAACTCCTTTCCATTCTACTTAAAGACTTTGTACGAAGCCCACTCAGACCAACCCCTCTTGGCTCACTCCTCAAAGCTGAGCAGACTCTGAAGCTGGGATCTTCCAGGTCTCTCCAGCTCCACTGGTACAGCTCAGGCTGTTTTAGGGTGGGACAGCCAGGATTTTTGCCTCCTGTTTGCCATGCACAGTGTCCTATGAGAGCGTGTGGTACATCTCAGGCTAAGGGGGAAAAGCTAGTGCTGCTTCTGTCCTCTAGGACTTAGAAACACACTGGGGTTTTGGCCTCCTGAGCCCGTAATCAAGTCCCTTTTCTTCAACATAACATGAACCCTGTTGCTAAGATTTTGTTTTTCTAATGCTCTTTTTGTCTCCTTTTCTCATCTAGGCAAGAAGCAATTCAGAAGAAGTGAGTCCTCAGCTGAAGAAACAGTAGCAGGACCTGGGGCACATGTGTCCCCCAGGAATGGTTGATGGAAAGGGAAAAAGGACGGAGTAGGGGTGGTGGGAAACAGCAAAAAGGTTTATGCAGCTGCCTTTGAAGCAGATGCTGGCCCAGTGGGATAGTGTTTTGGGATTGTGAAGAGATGGGAACTTGAGTGAAGGGATGATTTATACCAGAACTTCCACTTGTTTCATTGACGTGGTAGGGCCTGCTAGGTTGGTTGTGATAGGAGAGGAGGGTGGTGTAGAGCAGACCTGTCTGCTTCTGAGTGCACAAAATGAGGTTTGGCTTGGTATATGGAGGTGGGTTGGGGAGCCCCAGGGTTCTCTTTGCTGTAGCATCAGTGCTAGAGCCTTTCTGGTCAGCACAGCCTGGGGAGCAGATTTCACTGTGAACCTCTTCTTGCTTCGTCTCCAGCGTCGAGCAGTCATCAAACCTGCAGGACCAGCTGAGCCACTTGCTGAAATGAAGTGTAGAGAAGGCATGAGGACATCTCAACTGGCACTAAGGACAGTGAAGCGTCCTTTCCCCTCCAGACCCGGGGGTTCAGGCCTGTGTTTGGCTGATGCTGGATGTCAGCTGGGAGATGTGCAGAATCTCTCTTTCTGGGCACGTGGGCCCCTCTTGTGTGTCTCCATCCACGTCTCTGCTCCAGAACACCCCCCTGCTAACCAGAGCAAACTGAAACAAACTCACCTGAAACTTTGCTCCCCCCAGCAATTCTTGTGTCTGCTTACATCCCACCTAGCGTGAGGTGCTCAGCCCACACCAGCACCCCTGGCAAGAAATGCGTAAAACTGACTGTGGGTTTTAAATACAGGTGCCAGCAGTTTGACAGTGATCTGGATTTAGACACAGAGGTGGCACAGAGTGCGTTTTATTTAGGGCATGTTAATCAGTGGAAGCTGTAAGTGGGTGGGAGAGGTGCTTCAGTGTTGACTGAGGTGCCAGTCCCAGGCCAGCAATTCTGAAAGTGGGAATGTGGGCACACACCTCTGTCACTGGTCAGCTGGACATGGTTTGGCCAGCATCCTGCTCAGAGGTTATCTTTCCACCCTGCCAGAGCTCAGAACATCATCCCCTTGCCAGCCCATCTGCACTGCTTTCAGCCTTCAACTGCATTCCTCTTCCTGGGCTGCGGCTCCAGCTTTTGATGAAGCAGCCTTGGCTGTGGTATATGTATCTGCTTGGGAAGGTATCCAAAGACCTGGCTGGGAAGCGGGCAGGATAGCATGAGGGGCTGGTGTGCTCAGTTCTGCACTGTTCTGTGCTGGAAGAGTAGCAACCAGTCTCCTGTTCACATCCCGGGTAGCGACATCAGGCCCAGGCTATAAATACTGTGTGTTGGTTTTGGTAGGTCACTTATCTAGAGCACTTGGAGCGCACGGGAAGCACTTGTTCGCCTGAGTGTGCTTTTCACCAGCTGATAGAAGAAGGCAGGCTGAGAGCAGGCATCAGCCTGACACATTCCTGTTGGAGTGATGCTGGGCTTTGGCTCCTGAGAGCCACCTCCTGGGCTGGATTTCACCACCCCCTCCAGTGGCACTGACTTGATCTGGTGGCACTACTGCTTCTGGGTTCGCAGGAAGGTGCTACTGTTACCCAGGGTCTGTGTAGTGTGTGTGTGTGTGTGTGTGTGTGTGTGTGTGTTTGTGCCTTGGGAGGGGTCCTGATCCCCAGCTTTACAGATGCACTTTGGGAAACGGGGTTTTCCCTGAGCTGTGACTCGCGGAGAATAAAAGCTCCCTGAACACCACCAAGCCTCACCAGCCTGCTGGATGCCATTGCAGCTAGCCCCTGTGCAGAGGCGAGACAGTGGGAGTCTGCCCTCCGATGTCCCCTGTTGTGCTTCAGTTCTGGGGGGGGGGGTTCTCTGCAGTGTGTCCTTGCTGCAGGTGGCTCACCTCCAAGGTTCCATGCTCTGCAGAGGCCGGAGCAGCCCTGCAGCATTAAACCTGTGTCTCCCTGCATTTGGGGTGAGCAGGGGCAGAGCTGCACCCACGTGGGTGCAGAGATGGGGGAAGGCAGCAGGAAGGGGTTTGGGGGTGCGGGTCCAGGCATGGCCCATGTGTGACGGCAGCGGGACCCGCATCCCCCCCGGGGCCGTGTCCCCGGGCTCCGGCCGGACGGGAGCGGTGTCGGGCGGAAGCCGGGCCGCGGAGCCGGGGCGGTGCAGGGTCGGGGCGGAGCGTGGCCCGGGCTGAGCAGGCAGTAAGGCGGCCCGGGGCTGTGCCGGGGGTGCGGGGGCATCCCTGGGCACCCCTGCGGCTGAGGGCTGTCGGCAAAGCAAGGCGGGGATGGTGTCTGGGGAGGCTTTTAGGGGCTCGTCTCTCCTGGGTTGGGGAGACAGGGGGATGTTGTCAGGAGGCCCAGGAGCATCCCACTAGGCTGAAAGTTTGGGGGAGGGGGAGTGTGGGTCTCCTTGGGTGCTGCTTTCAGGCGGCAAAAAGTACCCCTGTATGTGGGGGAAGAGGGAGGTTTGGGGCCTCTGGGAGGACCCGGCGTGGTGCCCATCGGCAGTGGCGTCAGGCACCAGCCCCATGTTCCCGTTGCAGTGGCAGCAACCTGTGGAGAGCAGATCCACCGGGAGGTGCAGGTGAGGGGTACGGGTGGGAGGTGGAGAGGGGATGGGGTGGCCGGGCTGGGGGAACACAGAGGGTGGGGAGGGCAGGCAGGTTGACTGGGCAAGGGCAGCTAAGCCCGGGCTGTGCTGTCATGCCTGCTGCAGTCCAAGGGCAAAGGTGGTTTCGGGCCCCACATAACAGTATTAGGTGTGGCCGGCTCCTTTGCTCTAATTTCCATAGGAATAAGGGGCTGAGTAATCCTGTGTTTCCCTGCCCTCATTCCCTGTGCGTCTCTTGGCTGGGGAAATAGGGTCTGCAGCCTGCAGAGTTATTGCAAATGGGAATTGAATCCCCCACTGCACAACCGTGCTGTGTGTGCAAGCAAGGGGAGATGGGCGGGATGGGAGCAAAGGGGTGCGTGATGTTAGTCTAATTTTTAGCTGAGTACAAATGAGAGTGCCGGTGTCAGAGGACATTGGGTGCATGTACAGGCATGGCCCTCGTGTTTTGGTGCATGGGGAGCTCCCAGGGCACAGCTTGCTGTAGTTTGGTGGCCTCTGTCCCTCCCATCTCAGGATTACTATGGCAAAGAGCTGCAGAAGACAGAGGACCTGAAAACCAACGCATGCATCACCTCGAGCAAGCCCGTTCCCGAGGTGGTAAGAGATGCTTTGGAGCGTGTCCATGAGGAGGTGGTGGCCAAGTAAATCCCGGAGTTTCCTCTCTGCTGCTGTGTCCCCGTGGGCTGCAGCCCCTCAACCACCATGCCTGGGGAGCACCTCTGCCTGGCTCAGCTCAGCATCCCTGCAGGTACTACGGGTGCGGTCTGGTGGTCCCCGAGTGCCTGGCGTCCTGTCGGATCCTGGACCTGGGCAGCGGCAGCGGCAGAGACTGCTACCTGCTGAGTCAGCTGGTTGGGGAGCAGGGCCACGTCACCGGCATCGACATGACCGAGGGCCAGGTACATCACAGAGCTAGGGCTTCCCCTTGGTACCTCATCATTCCCCCCCATCATCCCCTTCCTTCTCCCAGGTTGAGGTGGCGAGGAAGCACATTGCCTACCACATGGAGAAGTTTGGCTACCAAAAGCCAAACGTGGAGTTCCTCCAGGGCTACATGGAGAAGCTGGGTGATGCCGGACTGGCTGACAACAGCTATGATGTTGTCATGTAGGTACCACACAGGCAGGCAGGGAACTTCATGCCATGCATGAAGCCATGGGACATGCAGCAGGATGTGCAGGGGATGCGCAGCAGCTGCTGGCGCTGAGTGCATGAGAGGGTGCAAATGAACTCTGGTTTCCTCCCCAGCTCCAACTGCGTGATCAACCTGGCCCCTGACAAGAGGGCTGTGCTGCAGGAGGCCTACCGTGTGCTGAAGGTAATGATGGGGCCGGTGCCCGTGGTGGGAGCGAAGCAGGGTTGGGGTGTCCCTCCTGTTGGGGTGCCACTGGAATGCAGCAAATGGGATCCAGCATGGCGGAGATGTGGCATGGAGCAGGGGAGGGCACCTCTGCATAGGGATGTGAGCAAGGTAGCACTGAGGGGTGCCCAGTTCTCCCTGCCCCCTTTGTCGTGTTGCTTCTTGGGATCTCCCTTCACTCCTTGCTGCCTTCCAGCCTGGAGGAGAGATGTACTTCAGTGATGTCTATGCCAGCCAGTGCCTGAGTGAGACCATCCGGAAGCACAGGGTGCTGTGGGGTGCGTAGGGCTCTGGGATGGGGGTGCCGGGGATGGGGAGACCGGACCTTTGCCTCCATCACCTTTGTCTGTGGTCTCATGCTAGGAGAGTGCCTGGCGGGAGCCCTGTACTGGAAAGACCTGTACAGCATCGCTGAGGAGGTGGGGTTCAGCCCCCCATGCCTTGTCACTGCCAGCCCCATTACCATTGGTGACAAGGAGCTGGAGAGCATTGTTGGTGAGGGCCTGAGCAGAGAGCATCAGCTCTGGGGCAGCCATGGGGGGCTGTGCTGGCACCCAGGGCTGGTTCCCAACCCACCAACCTCTCCTTTGCAGGTGACTGCTGCTTTGCCTCTGCGACTTTCCGCCTATTCAAGGTGCCCGGTAGCAGCCGGGCTGGGCCGGGCCGGGTCACTTACAATGGTGGGATCGTGGGGCACGAGCGAGAGCTGGTGTTTGATGCCAACTTCACCTTCAAGGTGCATGTGGGGGCATGCTTGGGCTCCCGGGATGGCATGCAGTCCTGGTCTGTGGGGATGGGGTACAGCAGTGCTACTCAGCAGTGTCCTCTGTGATTTTGGGATAGAGGGAGTAGTAGGTGGGAACAGAGGGGCTATATAAACCATGGAAGGTGCAAACAGAGAGCTAGGTCCATGCATTGCATTGGGGTGAAGGTAGGAGCAGGACATCCATGGTGGCTTCACAGGAGGGTTTGAAGCCAGCTGCTTGGTGGTTTTGGGGTCAGGCTGTGCTCCTGCTTTTGCTGCACGCTGTCTTCTGGGTGACTGGGGTCCCCTGCGCCACATAACCCAGACCCCAGCCCTGTGACCATCCCTCTGCCCCTAGGAAGGAGAGGTGGTGGACGTGGATGCTGAGATGGCTGCGATCTTGAGGAGCTCCAGGTTTGCGGACAAGTTCCTGATCCAACCTGGTGCTGCACCGCAGGGCTGCAGTTGCAAGGCGGTCAAGGTCGGTAGCAGGCAGCTCCACAGCTGGGTTCAGGGATGAGGACATGGATGTCCATGCCATCAGAGCTGCCCTGGGGTATCAGAGGGGTTATGGCATGACATCAAGGGACATGAGGCCATCTGTGCCATCCAAAGCCCATGGGATGCCTGAATTTGAGCAACTGCACCCAGCACAGGATGGAGCCCTCCAAAGGGGGGATCTGCATTAACCAGCTGACATGAGAGCCCCGTGCCCCCCAGCATGTCCATGGTGGCTGCCAGCTGGAGCTGCCTGAGATATCCCAAGGGGAGATATCCTTCTCCATGGGGGATGGCTGGAGATAGCCTGCCCCAGGGAGGTGATGGCCAATCCCTGTGGCTTGTTCCTGCTCATTGCCCTCACAGCTGCTGATGTGAGCTTGGCCCTGGCTGCCAGCCCTGAGCCCGCAGCACAAAGCATCTCTATCAGCTGGAAGCCTCTCTTCTCTCTTTGATGGTCCCTCCAGCCCGTAGATGGGCCAGGAGAGGCAAGGGAGATAACACCCTGCAGCTGCATGTCCCTGAAACACAACCTTGTGCTTGGGCAGGGGGAGATGTTCTCGGGTCCCTGCCCAAGCAGGAGGTGCTTCTCAGATGAAAGCAGAGCCGAAAGTCCCAGAGAAGCTCTTGGCTTCCTCCTCGTGGCAGGGAAGAGGAGCTGAGTGAGCCGGGGGCTGCCCCCGTGTTAGTTATAGAGGGTCTGCTTGGGCTGTGCTGCTGGCAGGGAGCGAGACGGGGGGAATGCAGCTTTCCTGGGGGCCTTTTGCTTCCCTCTGGCCTGATCCTGCCCTGGGTGTTCTGTGCCCTCTAGGAGAAGATCTGTGATCCCTTCCAGCTGCTGGAGCAGCTGTCAACCCCGCGTCCTGCCTGCTGTCCTGGTGCCTCCTGTGGTCCTTCCTGCTGAGTGCCGAGTGATGCCGCTGCACCGGAGGGTGCCAGTGGGGCAGGAGGATGCGGCCCCAGCGGCGTGAGGCTTCCACCGGAGAACAAATAAATGGCCAAGCTTGAAAGCTGTGTGCTTGTGGCTGGGACCATAGGGCCTGAGGGGTGCTGTGCTTCCCTGGTGGGGCAGGTTGTGCCTGTTTGTGGTGAGGATGGGAAGCCGTCCTATACATCCCCTTGCTATGGGCCTGGCAGTGGCTGCATGGCTTGGACATGCAGGCAGGGATGTCTCTGTATGAATGGGATCGTTGGTCCCTGCATGTAGGATGGCAGGGCCGGTGTGGGTTTGGCAGCAGCTGTGTGCTGATATTGAGCCCATGGAGAAGAGCAGAGATGTTTGCAGAAGGCAGCTGGGCAGAACAGGGTGCCAAAGGAGGCCCTGGAGCCATGCAGTTCCTGGCCCTGCAGCATGCACCCCTCTGCATGAGCATGGCTCCAATTTGAGGTATTGGAGAGCCTGCAGCTGGGACATGAACACTTCTGAGAAGCAAAAGGCACAGCAAGAAGCAGCCCAGCTGCTTTTTTCCTTCTTTTGAACTCCCTGTGCTAACCCACCACACAGAGGGATCTGCAGGCATCCCTCTGTCAGGCAGAGCCTGTGCCAGCTCCTGCCAGTGGGGTGAACAGCTCAGTAACATGGGTACAAATGAGCATCTCCCCAGGGCAGTGGGTGGGAAGGGTTGGTCACCTCCTGGGGGCTTGGCCAGCCCTGCTTCTCCATGAATTGCTCACTGTGGCACATGGGGTGCAAGGGGTGTCCCTGTTACTTGCATGCAGGATGGGGGATGCCCCAAGCGCAGCTCCTCATGCCTTGTCTTGCAGCCCCATAGTCCATTCCAAGAGAAGGGAATTTCTCTACCTCTCCCTGTGCAGCACTGATGAGATTTCTCTTCCCCCCTGGGCTCCATCCAGTGGGAAAGGCCCCAGTCCTCTTCAGCCATCGCACCTGCAGAGTTCTGCAGGGAAAAGCAGGGATTCTGGAAAAGCAGAAACCCTGCATTGGGCAAGGAGTGAGGGCTTTGGTGGTGGGAGATGAATCCCACATGCCCTGGCCCACAGGCTGTCTGGGGAAGGTGAGGAGCTGCTGAACAACAGCCCTTGGGTGAGCAGCTGAGCTTAGAAATGTGGAACTGCTTCCACCCCTCCTCATGCACTGGTTTTCCAGGAGGGACTGAATTTCCCCTCTATGCATTGAAGCAGCATCTTGCTGTGACATGGGGGAGGATAAAAAGCAAACAAAAAGTATCTGGGTTTAAAAACAAGCATGGGCAAGTGCCAGTGATGCTCTGCAGCAGCAGCAGGGATGGCTGAGGAGGGTCTCTGTGGCAAGGAGGATTCCCAGAGCATCTGGCTTGAGAAGTGAGTAAAACCCACAGGGTCACACAGTGATGGGAAATCCAAAAGCAGGCATGACAGCCCAGACCACCTCACCTGCCCTCCGCCATCAGCAAGGTGAGGGAGCAATTAGCTTACAATATAAAGATTAAACATATAAATAATGCCCATAAGTACAGCTTCTTGGAAAGCTGCCTTGCCAGCCTGTCCTTTTGGCTGTGGACGAGACTATGAGTCTGACGTGCTGGGTGCATGAGAATTCATGAGTTGTTGTGTTTAGAGCTATACTATGAATAAAGATAATCCTTGGTGCTATCTGCAGTCAAGAGGGCATGAATCAGCTGGCTTCAGGTAGGGCACCCTGGCAGACCAGCCTCCAGTGGTGTCAGGTAGAAGAGCTCTGGAACTGTACTCAATGTGACCTTGGGAAGGACTTGCTGAAAGCGCTGCCAAGATGCTGTTTAATCCCCCCAGCATAGCCCTCTGCCATGATTGCTTACAAAGACTTTCCCAAAGTCCCTGCAGAGCCCATCCTGGGAGGGTGGCAGCAATTAGTTCCTGCTATCAGAGGGCCTCCCCAGTGCGAACGGAAGAGCAGATGGGCCCTACCTGCAAACCCTGTCATTAAAAAGGCATGAATCCCTGCCATGGCCTTTCAGCTTCCCTGGGGACAGAGGCCCCCACAGCGAGGTTCCCCTCTTCTGTGCATACAGAAAAAGGGCACAGCTAAATGCCACCCCATTTACATAGTGCTGGTTTGGGTTTTTTTCCCAAATCCTTGGTATTTCTAGGAGGAAGCAGCTGAAAGAACTTGACTTTGAGCTTTCAGTCGGGGTCCTCACCAGGCTGTGGATGTGGGGGTGTCTTGTCTGCCTGGCTTTGCTTGTGCATGCAAAGCCTTAGGGTTTTGCCCCCTGCCCCAAGCTGTGAGGAGGTCCTGCAGCCCCGTCTGTGAGGAGCCCCAAAATAATCTGTCCAACAGCCCGCTCTTGGTGTTTCGGTGATTGTGGAGCTGAGCCAACTCCCCTTCTCCCAGTGTGAAACTACCGCGTTCTGCAGGCAGGGAGAGTGCAGTGAGGACAGGAGCCCTAAGTGCTGGTGCTCTGATTCACCCCGAGGTGAAAGGGAAGTGGCTCTGGAGTCCCTGCTCACTGCGGTTAGCAGGGAGTTGCTGTGGCTCAGCAGCATCCGTCACCTCCCCAAGGGAGCAGATCTGCAGGACTCCCTTGGGATGAGCTCAATGAGGTCTGGCACCATGGAATATCTATGGCTAAGGCCCCATGAGCGCTATGCTCTGCTCCCTGTGTTGGTTTGGCCTGTGAAATCCTCTACTTTTCCATTTTCCAAGAGCCTAAATGGAGGGGGGGCTGGTTTATTTCCCCTAAGGGATCTCCCTGAGCCCAAAATATGGTCTCAAACACCACAAACCATACTGGATGCTCTCACAGCTGCTCATCTGAACTGCATCCTGTGCTCTATGTGTGTTGCTCTTCACTAGCGGAAAGAGGAGTGATGATGCTGGTCCTTGGAGTGTTTATTGCCCCTGTGGGGTTTAGGGCATGGCAGCTAAGGCCTCGGAAGCAGCCTGGCTCTCTGGATGGTGGGATGTGAGCACACAGTAAATTACAGATCTTTTCCCAGATCAGCTCTGTGCATGCAGTTGTAAGGCCACGTGGAGCAGGGTGCAGCTCCTTGGGAAGTGTTGAACACTCCCGGCGGGAGCTCCAAAGCCCCGGCCTCAATCATGCCCGGTCTGGGCAAGCGTGTGTTGAATTCGGGGAGGGTGGAGGTGCCGCGGGCGGCTGAGCGGAGGGCGGGGATGGGAGCGGGGAGTGCAGCCCGGCCGGGTTTAACAGTTAATGCTCAACTTCGCTCCCAGGAACGACACAGCGGAGGAAATACCGCGGCACCGGGTGGAGGGTACCCAGGAACGGCGAACGACGGCTGAATCGCTGCACTTTACCACACCGACCGCGGCTGGCGGCAGAGCGGGACGGGGCAACGGACGGTGCCGGGAGAACCGCTGCCCCTGTCGGCAGCACACACCATGCCGAGGACACGTCCCCGAGCACGGGGCAGTCCCGAGGAGCATCTCCGGCCCGCAGGAGGCAGCAGGGCAACGCGATGCTCCCGCTTGGCCGGGCCGCGCCGCGCGGGGCCGCCAGAGGGCGCTGCACGACCACCGACCGGCGTGGCAGGGGACGCGGGGAGGCGCAGCGGGGCCGCGGCTGGCGGCGAGCGGCGCTGCTGGTCCGGGGCAGCGGGAGCTGGAGCGGGGCCGGGCAGGGGCGGCAGGAGAAGCGGTTCCTTCCCGTTCCGCCTCGCCTCCTCCGTGCGGCCCCGAGCGCCCCGTCCCGCAGCGCGGGAGCTCACGAGCCGCCCCGACGAGCGCCGCACGCGCCGTCTAGGGCCCGCCGGCCGCATCGCGCCCCCATTGGTCGCGCCCCTTCGAGGCTCCGCCCCGTCGGCCCCAGAGCTCCGTCGCCATTGGCGGTGGCCTCTCGGCCGGCCCCGCCCCCTCCCGGCTGGCGTACACACCGGAGTCACGCGCCCCCCGGGCTGGACGGGAGGTGGTGAGCGGCGGGGCGGGGCCTGAACGCCATTGGCGGGGGGGGCGGGCGTTGATTGGCGGAGAGCGGCCGCGGGCCCGCCTCCGCTGAGGCGGGCGCGGAGGGGCGGGGAGTGCAGCGGGTTGAGGCGGCGCTCGGCTCGGCCCGGCCCGGCAGTCGCCGCCTGTCAGGTCCCGCGGGCAGCCGTGCCCGCCGCCTCGTCCGCCGCCGCGCCTCGCCCGCCGCCACCGCCGCCGCCGGGGAAGCCGGGGCACGCCGCAGGCGCCGCGCGGCGATGCGGGGCCGCGGTGGCGCCGAGCCCTGACCAAAGATGGCCGCGCTGCCCGGTGGGAACATGGCGGGGGGCGGCCGGGGGGCGCGGGTGCCGCCGCTGCTGCTGCTGCTGCTGCTGCTCGGCGGCTGCCTGGACCGGCGGCCCCCGGCTGCTGCCGCCGCCGCGCCGCCTGCTGCCGTCGTCCCGCCCTCGGCGGCGGAGGAGACGGTCATCATCGGCCTGCGGCTGGAGGACACGGACGACGTCTCCTTCATGGAGGGGGGCGCGCTGCGGGTGAGCGAGCGGACGCGGGTGAAGCTGCGGGTCTACGGGCAGAACATCAACAACGAGACCTGGTCGCGCATCGCCTTCACGGAGCACGAGCGGCGGCGGGGCGGGCGGGCCGTGGCGGGGCCGGCGGGGCGCGGCGGCGGAGGGGGCGGTGGCGGGGTGGGGGGCGGCGGCGGCGGCGCCCCGCAGCGCTGCGGCATCCGCACCTCGGACATCATCATCCTGCCGCACATCGTGCTCAACCGCCGCACCTCGGGCATCATCGAGATCGAGATCAAGCCCCTGCGCAAGACGGAGAAGAGCAAGTCCTACTACCTGTGCACCTCTGTCTCGGCCCCCGCCGCCGCCGCCCTGGGGCCCGGGTCCCCCGGAGGGCTGGCGGGTGCTGAGGGGCCTGCTGGGCCCCCCCCATGGGGCGAGACCACCTGGATCTACCATGATGGTGAGGACACCAAGATGATTGTGGGTGAGGAGAAGAAGTTCCTGCTGCCCTTCTGGCTGCAAGTCATCTTCATCTCACTCCTCCTCTGCCTCTCTGGCATGTTCAGTGGCCTCAACCTGGGTCTCATGGCTCTGGACCCCATGGAGCTGCGCATTGTGCAGAACTGTGGCACGGACA